ATAATGTATGATGTTTTTCTATGCTAGCCAGTGAAAATGTATGCTTACCACAGCTCGTTTGAGCTTACTTTGTTGTTTAAAAGTGTTTAATTCAAGTATAATCAAACTGACTAGTATCACTATTACCTAAATAGTTGTGGAGAGGCAGTGTATAAAGAGGTACTATCTGATATTCCAAATAACTTTACTACTTAAAAACCAATTTCATGGAAACAAATATTTCACCTATTCCTTTTAATCTAGTTTTTTAAAAGAATTCTAATAAGATTTTTAAGTTTTATTTGAATGCTCTACGTGATAGAGTATAGATCATAAAAGTAAAAAAAGTAAGTGTGTACCTTTTGATGTTTTAATAATGCATGCCCTTTCTCACAGATATAGATTTTTCTGTTTTTTTCCATCTACTGTGATATTTCTTTAGAGCCCTTTATAAAAAATTCAGTTAACCAAGTCATCATCTTGAATTGTGTTTTCATACTCTGAATGAAAGCACTCATTTGAAACTTCCATGACTTAGAGGTTGTCAATCTGGGCTTGTAGCCAGGGGGCTGTTGGTGATTTTCATTCTGTCTTCATGCACAATAATTTTCAAAAAACAAGGGAAGGAATTTTCCAATAAGAATTTTATACTATAACTAACAATGTAGGTATATCCACTCCGTCCTCAGTTGTATTAGTACTGCTTTGTGCCACTCCAATGGCAGCTCTAAACTCAGCGTAGTGAACTCCAGGAGGATAACCCCATGTAGTGGGATTCTTGAACATTGTAGAGCTGCTAGAATAGTTCCTATGACATCTTTTCCTTGACACCACACCCAGAAGGTGTGTGGGTTACACAGCCAGATAGAAACATGACCAGGGAAAGTGACATGGCTGGAGTTCACCTGCACCCTGGTGCCAGAAGCAGCTGACATGAGTTACAAGGGCTGCCAAGCTGTAACTTGCTTTGGGAAACTGGCCCTTGTGGACAGCTGTCCTAGGATCATTGCTCTTCCTAGCCAAGAAACAAAGCTTTGGGTTTTAGACATTCTCATGCTAATTTTATTGATATGCCCCAATTGAAGTATAGGGTCTCTCTCAAACCAGAACCAGCAGGATCATTCAAAAGAAAGAAGCATTTTTGCATGCAATCACTGAGCAGGTTGTGACAAAGTTCAGTTGATTTATCTATAAAAATATTTTATATATTTTAATATAATACTATACTTTTATTTCAATCATAAGTTTTACCTTTCTGTACACTCAAAGCTATTGGCCCAGTCCTGAAGTTCTTACTGATGTAAACCTCCTATTTAAGAAGTTTTATCACTTTAAAACACTTCTTAAAGACATTAGAAGTTTTGCCTGTGTAAGGACTAATGGCTTTTGGATTGTACCATGTACTTGCTATATTTGTATATGTTGTTATGGTCTTTAACGTTCTGTACAGCCAGGCTAAAGTAACTCTCAGAGTATGATGCATTTAATTGCTAGTTCCTTGTTTCTGCTTTCAGCTTGTGTTTGCTACATGTACTGAAACATCTCTATTGATCTGCTCATCTATTGTTACTAATCTGGTCAGTTGATCAATGAAGAGTGGCATGTAATTAATTGTAAAATATTTACATCTTCTTTTCAGTATCTGTCTGGCAAGATTAACTTGTTACTATTTACTGCTGCAGCTTTACTAAACAGTTTCAGGAGGCGATAACAAGAAACATTTTTTTTTCCTGGTTTGTTTATAGAATTATTTTCAAAGGGAAGCAATATTTAACACAATATTCCAATTTACTGCTGACTGTGGACTTGTTTCACATACGTTAAATTTAGTATTTTTACAAAACTGTTCAAGACAAAGGAATTAATTGACTCATGGAAAAAGCACAAGTATGATTCTGATTTTAAGAAGTCTGGGATCGGCAGAAGAAAATTAAAGGCAGTTTTTTTTTGTTTTTTTAGTCTATGCATCTGCAAGGACCTCATGCATTGTGGCTATAGTTGGCTATACAGAAATAAAAAAAATACCGTGCAGGATATAGGCATTTGTTTTTTTCCTCCTTTTTAATTTCATCACTCACACAACAAGATTGACCTGTTTTTCTGCTGTTTCTAGAAGATAAGTGATGGTATTTGAGGAAAAGTTGCGTCTACCTGACCTATCTGCTATGTTGATATACTTATGCTGTTTTGGTTCTCATGCAGATGGAGGGAGCGAGGAACCACCAGACCGAAGACAGGCAAGTGTAGACTCCCGCCAGGGCCGATCTGGGCAAGGTAATGCTTGTATCATTTTCCTTCGAGGGCTTACTTCTCTTATGTTACCACTTTGTGCAGTTTTTCTATTTTGGTAAGATATCCAGCTCTTCTGGTTTATTGTAGCTTTTATTGTAATTTAGATATATACCAATTTAATAACGATCAGAAAGGTACAAAATGATCCATTTTAGGGGTTGAAACGAAGCTGGAATAGTGTATGGTGCACAATATTCATGTGGGAGCCTTTCAAACAAATGCTGTAGTATCTATTAATTTATGTATATGGGCTTCACATCCTCAGTTCCTCAGGCTGTGAACTGGGGATCTTCTTGGGGGCTGGGGATGAATGAGTTCTTCCTACTATTCCACAGAGCAGTGGCAGAGGCACTCCGCAGGCACCTATATTCTGCCCCCACTTCTGGAGAGGGGTGCATGGGTAGTAGCATGGAGAGTGTGCAGCATCTAGTTTGGGCTCTGGACATCCTGTCCTTCACTACAATGCAGCAGAAGGACCCCATTTCCTTTGGGCAAGTTTCTCCATCCTCCAACACTGAGGTGGGAGGTCCACGTTGTATTTGTGGAGAGCAGTAATACAGTAGGAGTAGAAAAGAGAATTTGGATCTGTTAAATACTGTTGTAGGTCATTCTCTGGGGCTGTGAAAGTCCTGGTGTTTGGAGCCTTAAATGCAGCTCACCAGCCTACTAAGAAGGCATTCCATAGTAACATGCCTCTCCTAGGTGGTATGTTTGCTCATTCACATTGTGGTTTTCTGCACCAGATTCCAGGAGTAATTCTGTTTCACTTTTCTTTTCCTTCCCCAAATCTGTTGTTGCTGTAGAGTCCGAATAGTTTATTGAAGTGACATTGACTTTAGAGCAATAGTTCTGTTCTTTGGCTGTGTTCCAATGTTGCCAGCAGAATATTGTATTGGCAAAAGTATTCTGAGTGATTGAAGCCTGCAGACAAATTTAGGGGTATGGGTATTTGGAACTAAAACTATTGAACCGTGTGAAATGGCAACTGTTGATAGAGGTTTGTTGTCTGTAATAGTTTTTTTAATTTGGAATTTTATATCTTAAATAATAAGAATTGAGGCTAGATTAGAAAGAAACAATGAATTCTAATGACTGTACACACTCCCAGAGCCACATTGCATTCAGAACCAGGTTGCTTTCCTGGAGTTTTGTTAGGGAATAAAAGGTTAATAACAGTAAATTATAACCTGTTCTTTTCAATCCTCCCTCTATTTAATATACAAAAGCTTTTATTGGTAATATTAATTGTAAAGGGAGTATCTAGCCCATTTTCTCTGATTGTGCTGTCTGATGTGGTTTAATTTGTTTAGATTTAAAATATGTACATACATACATATACGTAGGTTTAACTAAAGTCCTGATTTCAGAATGTTCTGATTGTGTTTGATGGACATAACAATCAGGTACTTTGATGGTCTGATGTACTATATTCTTCCAAAGCACATTGCTGAATACTTGCTAGACATACCTGTGATTCACTGGAAAAGATCTTTTCATGTTATAGGAAAAATGCTAATCTATGGGCTGCAGGTATGTTATTTGCTGTATGTACTTGATCAAGAACATTATATATACACACAAAATCATATTAAAAGATCATCATTAAGGTTGCGAAGTCAAGCACTCAAACATTGGGAAATGCCAGGACTAAGGTGTTTGAATTTACATGAGCAAAACAATGTCTTTTTTACTAGCCTCATTCTTGGAAACAAATTAATTGTTTGGGCTGAAATTTTCCACTAAACTTCAGCCTGAGGCAGACCCTTAGCATAGAAGATTTCAGCCCAGATGGTTAAATTTTGGCAAAGTTATAAGCAATTGAAAACAAGATCATATAATTACACAATTTTAATAGTAGGCAATGTTGCCAGCCCTGTCTGTAATAAAATGACATGGAGGAAAAAAAAGGTGACGCGTATAAAGGTAAATTACAACATATAAAAAATACGTATTTAGAAATGGTTTAGTAAACAAGATAAAATTTAGGCTTTATCTCTTTCTTTCCCTCCAACACATGGACAGATACATTATTCATAAACTTTCATTTAGGAGTTCTGGAGAAGGCCAGTTTTGTCCAAATAGCATCTTGTTAACCTGGTGATTCAAGTGACTGACCTGCTTCTTATTTGGTACCATTTATACATACTTTAATACATTAATTTTTTAAATTATTGTTAGTCATTTCCTGTCGAACTATATTAATCATTTATCTATGTAAATGTATATGGTCTTTCACAAACCTATATTGAGACATTAGATATCATCTATTTGTTATTTATAAAAACAATTGTATTGATGGTAAACCCTGTTTTGTATGCTCATTGTTTGCTGCATGCAAGTATGGCATGTGTGTTTGAAAGTGTGAGCACATTTTGAAAATGTGGGCCTTTATTCCCTGGACTCTACACAATGATTGTTGTGTAATTCTAACCATCAGAGGAAGCACATAAAGTCCCCTGAATGGATCAGAAATGAGATGAAAATTTAAAAATATCCAGTTATTTAAGGGCTTATTCCCTGTTTCTCCTCCATTCACCTGAAACCACTCAAAGGTTGTGGTTGGAGGAGACAACCCTCTTTTATAAACTGGAATCACTTCCTTCCTCACTTCACTTTCATGCTTCCATTGTTCCTCCCCTCAGTTTCACCCTCCACCCTATGGGACCCAGCCTCTTTATTCCCCTTCCTCTCATGAACTTCCCATCTATTGTACCTTCTGCTGCCTCTATAAGAGGCTCCCTCATTCCAAATCCAGATAGTATCTCTTCATTCCACCTTTCAATACTTTTCACCCTGCTGAGGCCCATAGTGCAATTCAGTGTGTGACAAAGTCCCACACAAATTATTTATGTTGTAAACTTAAGATGCCATTAGTGTAAATGGCTCTTACTTATCTAGCCGCAGTTTCATGATTCTGTTTCTGAAGTAAATAATTTTCAAGCCACACATATGAAGGGGACACCAAATTTATGTGGAAACTAAGATAGCTTTGAACCTAAAAGAAGTGATGTCCTTTGAAATGAGGAACAATTGAGAGGTATAGTATTTCCAACCTCATGAGATCAAAAATCATGAATCAGATCCCCAATAAAAGCGAAATATGGCTCCAAAATAATGAGATTTATTTTTTAAGAAATATTATATTGTGGTTTTGGTTTGTCTTTTGATTTTTGAACTCCTCTGCCCGTTCCCAATGTGTGGGGGTGACAATGAGTGTTGCCCACTCTTGAATGTATTGAAAAGGTGGGCTTAAACCCCAGGCAGGAGCTGAGACACCCAACACCTAAAGCAGTCCTGTCATCCTAGTTTGTCATGACTCACTGGTCTCGAGCCCAGGTCCACAGAGTTCATGGGAATGGCCATGCTCCAACCCTCCAGCTGATCTGGGACCCATGAAGTCAAGCCAGTGTGAGGCTCTGTCCCGAGGTCCTGTTGGTGCAGTCCCAGGGTGGTTGATTGACCGGCTGGCCCTACTTAAGCTAGCAGTAGGAACAGGAAACTGTGTGAACAACTGGGCCCCACCCTGCCATGGAATGTGAGCCTCGTGCTATTGCTCATGCTTCTGCAGCTTGATTTCCTGGCATCTGACTTGTAGTTCTGATCTCCAGTTTGTCTCCTGCCTCTGACCCAGAACTGACGTGGTTCTGATCTCCAGTTTGCCTCTTGCTTCTGACTTCCCGGTATCTGACCCAGCTGACTCTGGACTCCTGTCTCAGCACTGTGGACTCTGGCTTTTATTACTAGGTCTGGCCACCCATGACCTGACCATGGCACAGTTCCCACATCAATGTTGACACCACATCTGCCTATCTCATCAATTCTGCCTCTCCCACAGCCCCCACATCTGTTCTGTCCACACACCAGTGCTGCAATCCACCCCCATATCAGTGCCAGTTCCAATCTGTATCCCCCATATCAGTGCTGCCCTCAGCCTCTCATCTGCCCAGCTATCCTAATCTCTCCATCAGTTCAGCTCCCCCAACCTCACCTCTAGTCCTCCTGTTACTTCTGGGGTTCTTCACTCCACCCCATCCTTGGATCAGGGGGCTGCAGTGGTGCCCTTATCCCTCTTCCCTATTCCCAAACTGGTTGTTGCATAGAGGGGAAGAGCAAGGAGCAGATTCCATTGCTCATTGGAGTGGAGGAAAGAGCAGAGGGCTACTGAGCTGATGGGCACTTTGTTTCCTCCTTCACCCTCCCCTCCTGTGAACAGTGGGGGAGAGAATCTACCTGCATCCTTCAGGGTTAAACTTCATGACAGGGCTGGAGCTTTCATGTCATCGCAAGACAAGATCCAGCCCTATCTGAAACCCCATCACTAATGAAAAAATGATGAGTTGGCAATACTGGAGGCATGCTACTGCTCCACATCCCTTGTCTTATTCCATGCCACCCATTTATACCCTCCAAGACTCATGCCCCTCCTCTCTTTCCCTAGGTTCCTATCCCCATGTAACCCACCTTCTGACTCAGCCTAGCAGTAGCTGAAAAACACAGCATGGAGCCAGCACCAGTTCAGTTTCTGTTTGTAAACATTCAAAATTTGGGATTTTTTTCTCTGTATACACTTGAAATGAGCTCTGTATGAGTGTGTCCCTTGGAATAGTCACAATTAACAGGAAAGGGAAAGAAAACAAAGGAAAAAAATAACAAAATACCACTTTACTCTAACTTTTAGCTTGCATGAGCACAACCTATGTGGGCTAGTACAGACAGGAGAAGCGTCATCATGTTGGCATTAAGTTCTGAAGATGAAAATAGATTGGTTCAGAGCTGTCCAGGAGAGGAGACAGTATGACTTCTGCATGGGGAAAAATGAAGGGTATTTAAGCTTCATGTGATTATTATTAACTATAACCTATGTTTATTCCATATGCTAACATACTATACATACTACACCACAGGGGCTTAGAGATTTTGTTATGCATAGCATTTAAATGAGACCATCAGACTCTTGCAACAAAAATCAAAATACAATTTGG